AGACACTCATTTTAGGAGGATGCATGTTTGTTTATGTGTCTGCATGCCAGTGATTTTGTTCTGCACATCAACAACTTATGAGAACCTCAATATTTTTAATTTTCAGAACGTTCTACTCTCTCATCCTCCAAACCAAGTGCTTTCGGCTCTGCAAGTCTTGACCTCTAGACAGCAGGTGGTGTTAAAGGAGAAGGTTGCAGCTTTGAACGTGGAGTGTGACATTTCGGATCTAGGGTATATTTTTACATTATAATGTAGATTATCAAAACCCATTCTATAAATAATCATGTTATTGAATTGATTATTGCTTATTACTCAGGCATTTGCCCTTAATGCAGGTTTCGTTATCAGAGCGATCACCTAATAGATGTGTCGGCTGATCAGGAGGAGGAGGAGTTAACACCTGTCCGCAGTCTATTGCAGGTGAACATTTGAGATGGTAATTTTAGTGCATTGTATACTCTTTCTCTTGTGGCTCAGGTTGTATTTGTGTGTTTGCTCGCAGTCTGCTTGGGAGGAGGTGGAGCAGAGTTATTTTGAATTGGCTCAGGTTCACAACAGATGTGGGCAGCTGTGGCCAACCATGTATCAGGTGCTACTGATGTATCTACAGCAGCATGGGAAAATAAATATTAACCTTTTGCAGATACAGAAAAGTGTATGTAATATATACACACACACACACACGTGTATATGTATATGTATATGTGTATATTTATATATATATATGTGTATGTGTATACAGTATATGTGTATATATGTGTATATTTATATATATGTATATGTGTGTATATTTATATACAGTATATATATATATATATATATATATGTGTGTGTATACAGTATATGTGTATATATATGTATATGTGTATATATATATGTGTGTATATTTATATACAGTATATATATGTGTATATTTATATATATATATATATATATATATATCTGAATACTTTCCGTACCCACTGTATATATATATATGTGTGTATATTTTTATATATATATACATATATACTGTATATACATATGTGTGTATGTATTACATACACTTTTCTGTATCTGCAAAAGGTTAATTATTTTACCAAAGTAAGAGGGATCATACAAAATGCATGTTATTTTTTGTAGTACAGTACTGCTGTTCTTCAGAAAAATCCTTCAGTTCCCACAAATTATTTTGTTATCCAGCATCTTTTGTGTATTTGAACCCTTTCTAACAATGACTGTATGATTTTGAGATCCATCTTTTCACACAGAGGACGACTGAGGGACACATATGCAACTATTACAAAAGGTTCAAACGGTCACTGATGCGCCAGAAGGAAAAACTATATATATATATATACAGTGGGGGGAAAAAGTATTTAGTCAGCCACCAATTGTGCAAGTTCTCCCACTTAAAAAGATGAGAGAGGCCTGTAATTTTCATCATAGGTATACCTCAACTATGAGAGACAAAATGAGAAAAAAAAAATCCAGAAAATCACATTGTAGGATTTTTAAAGAATTTATTTGCAAATTATGGTGGAAAATAAGTATTTGGTCAATAACAAAATTTCATCTCAATACAATTAAAATAGTAGTTATTAAAAATAGTAAAAAAATAAAAAATATTGGGGGGTATTTATTTAAAAATATATATATACATGTTTGTTGTAATAGAAATTAGTTGAGTTTGGTGGAGATGTTTAAGTGTTTGAGTTGGAGATGGAGGGAGTGAAGCAAGCGGCAGTTGGAGACAGCATCAGAGAGCAGTGTGCTCAGCTACAGCTGTAGGCCAGAGAGGGGCTGGATGCCATCAGAACCCTGCAGACACCGTGGCAAAGTGTCATGGATTTCAGACAGCTTGTGGTATGTAATTGTATTCCTAACAAAAGACTGAACATTCATAGTCTGGAGATGGTATGTGTGTTTTTCTGTTTAGGACAGAAGACAAGAGCAGATACGGCGCCTGATCAAGGGAAACTCCGCTGTGAAGACTGAGTTAACTTATGTCTATGCAGAGGTATCGTCTCATGCAATAAATTCTTTAGTCTTCAGTGTCGCATAATCCTTCAGCAATCATTCATATGATTTAGTTTTGAAGAAACTTTTCTGATTATCAATGTTGAAAACAGCTGTGCTGCTTTATTTTTGTGTAAACTATTATATATTTTTCAGAATACTTTGATAAATAGAAAGTTTTTTTTTTTTTTAACCTGACAAACTTTTGAACAGCATTTTGTATGTATGTATCTATATATACAACAAAGCTTGTTTATTTTTTTTTTCCAGGTTGGACAGTTTGTTCAAGAGAAGCTTAATGCTCAGTTTTGCAATGTGATTAAAGCCAGCAGTGGACTGCGCAACTCTGTCTCACAAGAGGCCAAGCACTTTAGCTGTGTAGCACTGGCTGCACTGGATCGCAGGGTCATGAAGGGGTCAGCAAATCTACCGAAATCCATTTTTTTCCCCTCCAGTGCCTCTGTACATGATTCCATGCCTCACTGGCATTTTCAGTTGCTTTGCAACATGGAGTCAGAGGCTAAAGTTATTGAAATTTTTCTTTGTTACCATTTGCACATTAATATTGCATTATCAAAGAATTAATTGTTCTCTACGAACTAGTCTTTTTTTTCTAATCGGCAGAGGGCAGAAACCACCAGCAGCTCAGCTTTCCATCCACTGGATACAGTCCCCAGCTTTCCACAAACTCTGTGAAAGTCTCTCATTTCCCTTGTATATGGTGAGATGCACACTTTTATAGTCCGTTAATAATCTACATTTATTCATCATCTTTCTGAGAACCATTTCAATTATTAGCTCATCAAGCAGCAGTTAGTAAGTCCATTGTTTTACCACCTACAGTAAGTTTCACCTTTCTGATGATTGTTCATATCATATACAGTTTAAATATGTTTGTCAATGATGGACAGTTTCCATATCAAGCTTTTTCTTAACCCAATATGCAGTAAAAACTGATGGTAGGAGTCTTGTCTGTCTTTGCCAGGCTCCAGAAGAGCTGTGGTCTCAGGCTACAACTCTACGGCTGGAGTTAAGAAATCTGCGCAGACTTCTTCAGCTGTTCTCAGAGTCATCAGCAGACCTGCAGAAGCTGACAGCACAGCTACCATCACTTGATCAGCAGAGTATGTCATTATGGCAATGCTTTTTTTAACTTAAACCACACTTTTTGACCTGTTTTTCCCCCCCTGAATTAAAGTTTTTGTGAATGGTAAAAGAGCCTAGATTCCTTGCTATGAGAGAATGCTATTTTGGTGTCTATTTCAGCTTTGGTGCAGCGTGTGAAGATGGTAGATGAAGAGATTCTGCAGACTTTGCTCCCACGGGCCCGTGAGCTCACGCAGAGGTGCTCGAAAGGCGTTCTTTACACAGAACAAGTGAAGACTGCCATCACACGCTGGTAAGACATGACATGCTCTCAAATGTTTCCAACATGGGCTCTTTGTGGAATCGTCAAATCACCTTTGTTTTTATAGTGCTTCATACAGTAGGGATTGTTTCAAAGCAGCTTAACAGTATTAAACAGGAAAGTAACAGAATCAATTATGCTTTATTAAATTATTAACTTCAAAAATTAGATAAAGTTTGAATAGTTTGTAACTAACCGCTAAAGAATCAATACTGATCCCAAACTGTTCAAACTATGATTTTAATCAAATTAACGTACTGTTTGATTTTGTCTGTGCAGGTGGGAGCAGCCTGGTCAGTTTGCCCTGCCAGAGATGCAGAGAGAGGGACTGACTTTCCAACAGTGGCTTCAACGATGAAAACTGGCAACAAAGGAATCCTGAATTAGTTTTGCATTTGAGAGCAAAGTTTATGTTGGGCAACTTTATCTGTGCATAATTTGTATTTCATTTTCTTTCAATTTACTCTTACTTTACACTCAAAATAACCTGAGTAGGTTTTCTTAGTTAACTTTTCTGCAACATATTCAGTTTGTGTTTGAGGGTGCATCCTGTTCAAGAAATATTTGATGCACTTTTTCTGGATTTCTCAAATAATTTAATAGACACTGGAATAAAGGAGCAGTTGTATGTCTTTTGTTTTGTGGCGTTTTAAATCTCCCTACTGAAGGTAGAAGTTAATAAGATGCAGAATACTTGTGCTGTTACCGGTGTTGTTTTTGTGTGTTTAACCTCAGTACCCTCTTGTAGGAGCTTATGTAATGTTTATGTAATTCTCTTATAAATGGTAACAGTGGTGGTACTTCTACTGGGTTAGACCAAACATTTATATGCAAACACAATTAAAGTAACTTTGTGATGACTGCCTATGGGCATCCAGCTCTTGATGTCATTTCCTGGTTAAGATAGTGTATAATCAGAATGTTCAGTCCTGTGTGGCCCTAAAAGGCTGTGATAACCTGTGTAAATGTACTGCTGTATAAGTGTTTTTGAACAGTGACATGTCGGGCTGTTTTCAAAGCTAAGGAAACTAACAGACTATCGTTCAAAAATCTGCGGTCATGTTTTTGAAAGACACCTCACTCACTAAGGTTGCATTTATTTGATAAAAATACAGTAAAACAGTTATATTGTGAAATAACATCAATGTATAAAACTGTTGCGCTGCTTGACGTTTTCGTGGAAATCGTGATTTTTTTGTTTTGTTCTGAATTAAAAAGATCCGGGGTATTTTTGTACCAGTGTATAAGTCTTGCTGTCACTTTTGATCAATTTAATCCATGGTTGCTGAATGTCAATTTAACCGATCACTTAATTCATTGTTGCTGAACATAAAGTATGTCTAAGTTATTTATGTGAGAGTAATGTGTTATAGTAATTTCCATCTGACATAAAAATGCCATTGCTTTAATACTCGAACTGTTCCGAACTGTTTAAAGACAGAAAAATCCTTAAAAAAAAAAAGCCAGCAAGGCAATTATCAGGACTTGCCATATAGATGGAGTTTCTAATCCTCTGTGTATCTCACAACCTTCCAGTACAGAGATTTCCAAACGTTTTTGTCAGCCGAACCCCCTTTTTTTATTAATAAAATTATATCTGATTCTGAGAGTAACCGTGTGTGCTGACCTGGAGACAATGGAACAAGCAATAAGACTCACCATCATGCCTGTTTGTCTTATTCTACACTACAGCATTAATGCATGTTATAATCAACAATAAACTTCAACATTGAGCATTTGGTTAGCTGATTAGAATAAACATACCAGTTCATTGGTGTGTTTGGACCAGGCCAGGTTGCAGACTTGTGAGCCTGTGTCGATACACTGCAGTGGCTGCGCTGTAAGAGTGTTCCAGAAGCGGATGCAGCGGTCTGCCGTTCCCCCTCCAGAGGCCAGCAGTCCATGCTGGTGAGGAGACCAGGCGATAGCCTTCACTGCGGCCAGGTGTTCTGTATACTGCTGCATTGGTAACACGCTTGAGTGATTCCACACTAACAGCTGAAGGGATCAATCACAGGTATGCTTTTAGAGAGATGCAGTTTGCTAAAAATCTTTTTTTGTGCTAATATATTTGAATATTTTGTACATTTAAATTATTTAAATAGCAGTCAGGTCACCTTGTTGTCATTTCCTCCGGAGGCCAGCAGCTGATGGTCAGTGCTCCACTTGAGTCCGCAGACCTCTTGTCTATGGCCCTGTAGCCTGCGCTCTGACTGCAGAGGGGGCGTCCTGATATCTCTCTGAAGTATCATCCGGTCCCGGCTGCCTGATGACAGCTGATCTGCATTCCAGGCCAATGCACCTGATGGCAGATTTTTCATAACATGTTTACACTGCACATACATTTCACTAGAATGTGAAGCACATCAGAAAGTAAATGTCAAAAATGGACTGAAACACTAAATCAGTCCAACAAGAAGCTTAAGAGCAATAGTGAACATATGTCCTACAGTTCAAATGTTTGGGGACAATAAGATTATTATATTTTTTTTTAGTTTAATATATTTTAAAATGTAATTTATTCCTGCAATGGCAAAGCTGAACTTTCAGCAGTCATTTTGCCAGACTTCAGTGCTACATGATCCTTCAGAAATCGTTCTAATATGTTAATTTGGTGGTCTTACAAATGTTAAACAGTTGTGCTGCTTATTATTTTTGTGGAAAATATGATAATTTTTTTCCTTGAAACAAAATGATGAAAAGAAAATAATATTTTTTTAACAAGGTCTTTAATGTCAACTTTAGTCAATTTAATTAATACTATTACTTGCTGAATAAAATATTAATTACAAACTCTTGCACCTTGACCAATGAATTTCAATGATTTTTCTATAATTTTCCAGTCATTCCATAAGGATTAAAAAAACATTTCTTACCAACTCTTGCTGTGTGTCCCTCCAAGGCAAACAGCTTTTTGCCGGCAGTAGCATCCCAAATTTGTACAAAGCCTTTGTGTGTACCCACAGCGACAAGATTGCCCTATGAGAGAAGAACGGTCAATCCACAAAACCCAGAAAGCAACTTCTGATAGTCCAAGTCATAAAGGTTAACTCACTCTCTCCGACCAGCCCACGGATGTAACTGAATCACCCTCCACTGATAGGTCACATAGTCGTGTTACCTGCAGACAAAGCAAAGAAAAAAACACACAACTTAGTCCAATAGTTCACTGGGTATTTACTGACTCTAAATTTGCATAAACAGCCAATGTGTCTCATGCATACTTGACTGGTGCAGGCACTCCAAAGATAAACACAAGTCCCCAGTCCAACACTGAGCACATTTAAAGAGGACCAGTCCACTAAGTTGAGGTAGAAATCATCTTGTAGCTCCGGAGCATCTAGCACCTTAAAAGGAATCTTGGAAATTTTGCGTGTGGGTTTTCTTGGTGACCGCAGCAGCTTCTGACTATAAACAAAAACAATGCATGCAATTAAAACAATGCATTTTACTAATCAATCACATTGTTCAGGAGAAGACTCCGCTTACCTTTTGCTGCTAACAGGGGAGAGGGAGTATGGGGAAACACTGTTATCATCGGGTGTGGATCTTTTGGCACTGAGTGAATACTGTACACACAAACACAAAGTAGGCGCTGAAAACACAGATCCAAACACTCATGTGGCATCAAGTGAACAGATCAGCGGATAAGAGAGCCTTACACTAAAGAGGCTCCTCCTCTCGGGTGTGGAGGGCTGTAGTCTTCTATCTTCTGTTTGAGGATCCAGGACCTTCTCAATCCCAGCACCAAGCAACTCATTCTTCAGCAGGGCAGAATACGCCAAGCCGTCCGCTGTCAGACAAACGACAGAATTTACACGAGTTGCACAACACAAGAGGGTTGAGTATCATATTTGAGAATGTGATCCTTCAAGAATGAGGTTCATTTAAAGTATAGTCTGTCTCTCTCTATAAAGAAGATACCATAACACCAATGCCTGATCAGCTTTATTAATGCAGACTACAGGTAAAATCAATGCAATCCTCTTCTCGCTCACCTTTGCCAGTATCTGATGTTGCGTCTTTGGTTTTTTTATTCTGGCTTGGTGACTTTTCATTTTCCTGTAAACAGAGTAAATAAATATGCACTTGACACTTCACATTCCTTTGATTCAAATCAAATGGAAGCTAATTGGAAGCTCCATTACTAGTATTTTTATTTTTTTTATTTCACCCACATTTATTCTGTGGAAGTTGATGCTCCAGTTAGCTCCAGCTCGAGATGGTATGAACCTGTCACCATGCTTGCTTGGTGATGACAGCGGTGACTCAGGGGTGGGGGTCAGGTGACAGATCACATCTCTTACTTTCTGTATACAAAACAAGAAGGAATCAGACCAGATCAAATGAATAATCGGAAATGGATCGTTTTAAAAACATTCAAACGGCACAGAAAAAAAAAAGAATCCAATTTCAAGTCTGCAATATTCAAGATGACAGACTTACCATGGGACTGGTGTTGTCATTCTGGACGTTGATTTGCCGCAGTAACCTGCGCTCATAGTCCTGATCCATGGGTGTGTGATTCAGAAATCTGGGAATGTGGAGATCCAGGGGCAAGGTGCCTAAAGTGCATTCATGGAAACAACATAAAAACATGTTTAGAAACTATATGGGAGGAACATTATTTTATGAGAAGGTCACAACGATGCAACTATTGTTAAAGGTCTACACTTTTAGGTTGTCTTGTTAGCGAGGCAGAAGGCTGCAAGACTCGTCAGCAGATGCCATCGGTTCAATACCCCATAAACAGGTGTTAGAGAACAGCTGCTCAATCGTCAACTTCCAAACAACAGGAACATAGAGACAAGAATATGCTGGACTGCGATTCCCAGTTCATGACATTTTAATAAAGACCCAAAGTCTTAAGTGCAATCGTTTCGTGGCCTAAGCAAACAATGCCATTTTTATTACGGATTAAAGAAGTTAAGTGCTTCTTTACTAACAGGAAACGTAAAGACAGAATATCAATATAATGTCAGAAAGCAATTACCCCACAGCTGCTCTCAGTCCTGAATGAAGAGATACTAGATTCCTTTGTCAACATGGCTAACTATCAACGTCTGTGTTCATTTATGGAAAAACATGTCAGCGATATATATCAGCTGACCCAAGGCTATCTAAATGTATACATTAATAAAACAACAGAAGATGTAGTATTGTCATGCACTGATTATTGGTGTTTCACAATGGATTACTGAGCCGCTAGTTAGGCTAATCTGACCCCACAAGTCATCGGACCTACCTTGACTACGATATTCGGTGAATTTATAATCTGATCAGCAGAACCTTATCCAAAACAAACGCATCGAGTGTCAACCTTGAAAAAATGAGAATATATTTGATAATGGATATAAAATACGCCGCGCCGATGTTGTTAGCAAATCGAAGCTGATGTTATCGATGGCACCGCAAAGGATCATGGGACTGAGTTAAACACTGACGTCACGACATTTGAAACTAAACAAAACAAAAACGTTGCTATGTTTTTAAAAGTGAAAAGATCAACTTCAATTTATTATTATTTTTTATTTTTTTTGTACGGGAAAAAAGTAATATTGAGCATTTTGTTAAAAAGTGCATACTATATATTATGGAAAGTTTGTGAATTGTATTTTTACATTTAATTTAAAAGTTTAAAAAGTACCATAAATACATAAATACTTGCATAAAAGTATACATATTTAATTATACTGAAGTGTTCTAAAGTAAAACACTTTTCTTAGCTTTTTTTAATTGAACGTTAAAAACAAAAGACAGTAGTAATTTTCTCATTTTAGTATTTTGATGCAATATCTCATTAGGATAAAGAAAAACATTAATTTTATTTTTAAATCATTGGCAAAAGTTTAAGTCGTGGTTACTGACATGTATTTTGTACTTTTATGTCTCTAAAAATGTAATAATTGTCAAATCTATTTTTTCCCATATAAATGTAATTGAGTAATAGTACACGTATTCAGTTTTGGTTTGAACAGATCTCAAGTAAAACACAAATTATAAGTAAAGTAGTGAAGTACTATTACTCAAATACTTCTTGTTTATTTTATAATGCAACCTTATTTCCTTTATACAAAAAGAGGAAAGAGATCAGAGAAGAGATGCTAGGTAAATCAAACAGTAAATTCATAAAATTATATTATATTTATATTTCCTTTTCCATTGGTCTAAAACAAACGTTTATTTTGATAAGAACGCAGAAAGAAGTATACAATTTTGGAAGATGTAGGAAAGACGAGGTGATTTTAAATAGATTACAATTTGGGCACACAGGACTAAATGCATCACTATACAAAATAGGTCAACATATTACAGGTAAATGTGCTTTTTGTGGGGTAATAGAAACCGTTGAACATGTAATATTAAAATGTCGGAAATATAGAGAGAGAGAATTAAAATGATAAAGAACTTAAATGGTAATAATAAAGAAAAAAAGAAGATAAATTGGATATTAGGAAAAGGATTAAGAGAAGGTAGTAATCAAAGAATAGTAATGGAATATATAGTAGAAACGGGATTAAATTAACGAATTTGATAGTTAAATAAATAAATAAAGCAAAGGAATAGGGGAACACACAAGCTGGGTTTTTTGGCATGGGAGCTGAACACGCAGCAGCCAGAAATACAGCTTGGGTGAGCCCGAAATAAAATTAACAATTAAAAACAAAAAAAAACAAAAAATGAATAGAGGGGGGACTATCATCCATGTATGATTAAAAACTGTTGGTGGCGGTATGTGCCTATGGTGTGGAATACGCCAAAAAATTCCAAAGAAGAAGAAGAAGAAGAAGAAGATAAAAACACAGGAGACCGGAAGTGGCGCTTTATGTTGGGAGCTGAACACGCAGCAGCCAGAAATACAGCTTGGGTGAGCCCGAAATAAAATTAACAATTAAAAACAAAAACAAAAAAAAAATGAATAGAGGGGGGACTATCATCCATGTATGATTAAAAACTGTTGGTGGCGGTATGTGCCTATGGTGTGGAATACGCCAAAAAATTCCAAAGAAGAAGAAGAAGAAGATAAAAGCACAGGAGACCGGAAGTGGCGCTTTATGCCCGTCATGGGAGCGTGTTTGTTGTGCTGCTGTCCTAAATCACAAAAAGAATACTTTCCACTGTGTAGAGTGTTTATTACTACGCGTCGCACAAAATGCCACGTTCATACTTGAAAACAGACGAGGCGAGAGATGCTGCGGAGATGAAATATTTACTTGCATCCAAAATTAGGCGACGAAAAGAAGAAATTCATAACTACATACTAGACAGGCGAGCTGAAATTCACAAACGAATCATATATCGAAGGCATCTTTTCCTGAATTACCGGTGCACGAGTACGGTAAACGGTAGTTTCTGTATATGTTTGCTACGCATTTCTAAGACATCTGTAGACTTCCTTGAAATCACAATCATGCTCTGCACAGTAACGAGAAGAGTGTGTGCATATTAGTCAAGTTACTTTTATTTATATAGCGCTTTATACAATACAGATGCTTTCAAAGCAGCGTCGCAGTAATGAACAGGAAAATAACAATCGGCGATGCAGACTAGTGTCAGTGCAGTTCAGTCAATACATAATAAGTATAAGAGATAATAATAAGAGAATAAATTCCTCATTGAATTTATGCCAGCCTGACTGGCAAAATAATTGCTCATTCATGCAGTAAGCATTTTTTTCTGTCAATGTTTTAGTTACCATCACCAAATGAAGAAGATCTGCAAAATCATGTCACAATCCCTGCAGACCCAGGTTGGTGGGAGAGAGTTGTGATGACTGAGTTTGGACCAGAAGACTGGCTTGACAAGTTCCACATCACAAGAGAAATCTTCCTCCTTCTGCATGCTAAACTCAAGCCCCAGCTCGAGCAAGTGTATATAGAACAAAGCAGACAGACCATTACACTGGAGAGATGTATTGCCATGGCCTTAATGCGTTTGTCCACCAGCACAGACTACTGCTTCTTAAGCGAACTCTTCGGTGTGCCCATCCCCGCTGTGTGTCAGTGTGTACGAGAGGTGTGTGAAGCCATCATTTTGTTACTAAAACCCCTTTACATGCAGTTACCTGCAGATCATGAACTTGAAGAACAGGAAGAGCAGTTTCGTACTCTGTGGGGTTTTCCTCACTGCATTGGTGTCATCGACTCCCTTCACATCCCTGTTAAATCACCCTCCACGGACACCCAGGATTGCTGGAACCCGAGAGGATGGCACTCTGTGGTGCTTCAGGGTGTGGTAAATGCAAAAGGTAGTTTCTGGGACGTTTGTTCTGGTTTTACAGGCAGCACAGATGACACGACCATCTTGCAGAGCTCAGAGCTGTGGACTATGGCAGAAGAGGGAGGCTTCTGCTCTCAGCCACTCAAAGAACTCATGGGTCAACCGTTGGGATTTCTGCTGCTGGGGGATGCGGGTTATTCGCTTCAGACCTGGCTACTGAAATGCTATCCTTCATCGCCAAATCTAACACCGCAACGGCAAACCTTCAATGTCCAGCTGAACCGCGGCATTAAAATAATTGAAAATGCCTTCCAGCGCCTTAAAGCGCGATGGCAGTGTCTGCACAACAGAAATGACAGCAACATAGACTTGGTGTCCAAGATGGCTGTAGCTTGCTGTATCTTGCACAATATCTGTAACATGCATAACAGTCCGTTTAAAGAGGAGTGGGTTAAAGCACTCAGTCAGAATGAATGTCCACAGCCCACAGATGTGCCTACGGTCTACATAGATGATCCGAACGCAGAGGCAGTTCGTTCCCTGCTCTGTAGCTACTTTGAGCAACAACAGCAGAGCAAAACACTAGATCAGTCTCCAACAAGCAGCCCGGTTTTGTCTGTACCTGAGCCACCTCAAGTGGACAATGCTGGAACAGCATAGCTTGTGTATAGACTGATCATTTTATTAGCCTGTTTATAGTCAGTTTATAGCTGCCATTTAATATGTTACAAAAGTAAGCATGGCTAAGCAGGCAGAAAGTGTGTAAATTGATTGTATTTAAATCCCAGTCTTATATTTTATGACTCTAAGATGATCTGTTTTATTAACTTTTATAAATGAGTGACTTTTAATATGACTTTTAAATCACTTGATACGTTTTAATTGGCGTCTAATCTATCAATATTGTAAACAGTGGATCTATATAACGTTCAAAGTGATTTGTTTGTGTTGGTTGAAATAAACAAAAATACTTACGGCAATTCAATGCTTGTTTGAAATTTTGGAGAATTAGGTAAGCCCAGAAGGCATCATTTATTCATGTCACATTGTTATAAACCTGTGACTTATTTTTTTCATCCTTGGAACACAAAATATATTAAATGTCCTGTATTATTAAATGTGATGCACTGTGTGTATCAATCCACATTGACTTTCCTAGAATTTGAAAGTGCTGTCTCCAAATTTTCAAAATTTCTCATCACATGTAAAAGAATACAGCCTTACCAGGTTGAAACAATGTAAATCAGTGGCTCTCAACCAGGAGGCCATGACCAATTAGGAGGCAATATTGTCATTATAACTAATTAATTACCTATTATTATTAATTAATCTAAATTAACAAAAAAAAATCATAGTTCTTTTTCCTTCAATAACTATTGGTTATTATGAGTTACAAATAGTTCTTTAAACCTGTGATTAATTTACAGCTTCAATGCTTCCTGTCTCTGTTAAAAATTGGGGGCATTACAGTTAAAAAGGTTGATAACCATGTAGCTTGTTAACAAATTTTAGAGTGGTTCCCCTCCAATCCAGTAGGTGGCGATGGACTAATGCGAGTAATTTGAACTCTCACCACTGGATTCCACAAGTGAAACAGTTCCTTTTTGAGTGGACGGCATGGGGAGGTTGATGGAGAGCGCCTTGTCATGAGCGAAAAACACATCTCCGCTTGTAGTAAGTTCAGAATACAAATAATTCAGCGATTGTAACGAATCAGATTGTGAACTCGGTTAGCTGAAATATCTTTAAACCCGTCATTCTGCCGGCTGCATAACACGCTTGCACACAGCTGGCAGAGTGAGGCCTGGGTAATGTTCTGCGGACACAGATGGCAATGTTCAGGCCTTTTCCTTCATAGTGTAACCCTGTAACTTTTCATTGAACCGGTTCTCAAAACCAGTTAACGATTCGTTCACGAACCGTCTCTTTTTGGGTAATTTGGCAATTAATTTTAATCTTGTTTATTGTAAATGCATATTGTTCTCTACATTCCAAAATGTCATTCTTGAAAATAAAAAGCACATCGAATACGTTCCAATTGTCTGTTAATATAGGCTTCTAAATTCTTTCAAAAACTCTTGAGTAAGTCAGGATCTCATCATGACGTAAAAGAATGCCTCTGAATTGGTTTTGAAAGAACAGATTCGCAGAAACGAGTCAGACTACAAATAGATAAATGGGATATGTCCCCGTTTAAATAGTAGACAGACAAACAGTAAGTCCTAAAGATTCATTTTGTTTACAAGCTCAAGAATGCTGTCTAAGTAGGTAGTTCACAAGGTTTTTAATCATCATATGAGTCCTGACATTTCATTACTACTACAGAGTCAATTATTACTAAGCAGGGTTGAACTTTTGTTGTTTTTAAATGCAGGTTCTGTATATATGCTGCTCTCTGGAGTACTCTCTTTAACCTGTGCATTAAGGACATCATCCTGATACTGAAAGCTTCCTCATGGCAAATGATGCAGATATAGCAGCGGTGGGGAGGATTCTCGTCAACCCAAAGCAGGACCTGACAACGCGCTTTAGAGCACTTTTTACTCTCCGCAACCTTGGTGGACCAGAGGCCATTAAATGGATCAGTGACACTTTTGTGGATGAATCTGCACTTCTGAAGCATGAGCTGGCATACTGCCTCGGCCAAATGCAAGACGAGCGGGCCATTCCTATCCTAGAGACGGTCCTGAAAGACACTAATCAAGAACCAATGGTCAGACATGAAGCAGGTGAAACTTACAAAGTCATATTCTTCCTTCTTTCTTTCCTTTTTAAAAATTTTTTTTTTTTCATATTCAGTGTTTTTATTATAATTTAAATTCTAGGAGAAGCATTGGGAGCCATTGGAAATCCCAAAGTCTTAGATTTATTGAAGAAATATGCAGAAGATCCAGTAATTGAGGTACCGTCAACCCATATCACCAATCTATTCACCATTCCTTGTTACACTAACGCAGGAATGCCCTGTTGTGCATTTTGATTATGCCCCAAGTTTAGATTTTACAGTAATTCTCTTTTCATAAAGGTGGCAGAAACATGTCAGCTGGCGGTCCGGAGGCTGGAGTGGCTCATGAATGGTGGGGAAAAGACAGCAGAGGGGACAGATGAGAACCCCTACTGCTCTGTAGACCCCGCGCCCCCTGCCGCAAGAAAAAGTGTCCCAGAACTGAGGGCGCAGCTCTTAGATGAAAGCCTGTCGCTGTTTGACCGCTATAGAGCTATGTTTGCACTGAGGAATCTTGGGACTGAAGAGGCTGTTCTGGCTCTTGGAGATGGTGAGAAAGATGCAGTGCTAGGTCACATCAAAAATGTTGAAGTTGAACTTTGTAAATAACAGTGTTTACAAGTTTGGGCTTGGTAAGATTTTTGCTCACCAAGGCTGCATTTACTCAAAAATCAAATAAAAACAGTAATATTGTGAAATATTATTACAATTTAAAATAGCTGTGTTCTATTTCAATATATTTTAAAATGTAATTTACACCTGTGATGGCAAAGCTGAATTTTCATGAATTTACTCCAGTCTTCAGTGTCACATGATCCTTCAGAAATCATTCTAATATGCTGATTTGGTGCTCAAGAAACATTTCCTATTAGTATCAATGTTGAAAACAGTTGTGTTGCCAAATATTTTTGTGGTGACATTTCTTCAGGATTTTTTGAAATGGAAATCTTTTGTAACCTTACAAATTTACAGTCATGCTTTAATCAATTTAATGCATCCTTGCTGAATAAAAGTATTATTTTCTTTCTTTTAGGTCTTCAGTGCAGCAGTGCTTTGTTCCGCCATGAGATCGGCTACGTCTTGGGTCAGATCCAACACGAGGCCAGCATCCCTCAGCTGCAGGCAGCTTTGGAGAAAACAGATGAGAACACCATGGTCAGGCATGAGTGTGCAGAGGCGCTGGGCTCCATCGGGAAGGAGACGTGCTTACAGATCTTAGAGCGCTACAGGAAGGACCAGGAGCGGGTGGTGAAGGAGAGCTGTGAGGTGGCACTGGACATGCTGGAGTATGATAACAGCTTGCAGTTCCAATATGCAGACGGACTGCTCAGACTGCGAAGCGCTTAGTGAAACACATTTCCTAAAACATGTTAATGTTACACAGCTGATCCATATTTCAAACTCAAGTTAAAGCATTTTGAATGCTTGAATATTTAATAAAAAACATTTTTGCAGATCTCTCTTGAAAAAAAACTGAAAACGTTTACATAATAAAAGCATTTATTTGACCACAAATAAGTATGTCTTATTCTGCCTGTAAACTCTTAACATTTTGCGTCATGAATATTTGAGATGTTTCTAATCTTCAGTAAAGTCTGTGTGACTCATGTTAAATCCTCCATGCATGAGCAGAGGTGATTAGCAGAGCTAAGAGCGCTAGTGCTTGTCTGAGATCTCTAACAGTACGTTCTGCCTAACTAAGCCACACAGCAGTCTATCTCATTCAATAAGATTCATCTTTAAAGAACCGAAATGAGAAGCATTGCACTCTGATTACTCTTGTATATCTATATAATCAATTTTATATCTGTATAATGTACAAATATAATAATAAACCTGGAATGTCGTGCTCAGCAAAGGCTCTGAGGATTTTTAAGCCTCATTTGAGTTTGGGGGGAGGAGAGACAACCACGTACTGAAGAAAAGGCTGGACCAAACCGCAGAAAAAGGCTAAAAGTAACAGAAAGCACAGAAATGCTGTAAACGGCAGTCAGGGAAAAACTTGCAAACATGCTACACCCCTTTATGATTGGTATTGTCACAATTAATACCTCCATCACCATTGCATACTGGATATTCATTCTGACAGAAGCCTTTCACAAGAAGACGGACGATGAAGCCAAAAAAGACGACCATGCTTAGCCAACCCTGCATATAATTACATGTGGGGAAGGTTAAAGTAGGATCTTCTTTTATGCCTTAAATGTTTATTTAATTATTTAATAATATAGAAAACTTGTGGGTGGGGTGGGGTGGGGGGAGATCTTGCCATTTGAATAATCTGACCTGAGCAAATATTCCATGACTCCAACTCTCCAGGATCTGGTTTACTTTCAGGTAACATAAAATGTTTATTTTTTAGTTAGGGGATTGGGGGGGGGGACTTACTACATAAGAGACTTACCGGCTTCAACTTTTGAAGTGTAGCATGGAGCAATAACATGTATCTTGCCATTTGAATAATCTGACCTGAGCAAATATTCCATGACTCCAACTCTCCAGGATCTGGTTTACTTTCAGGTAACATAAAATGTTTATTTTTTAGTTAGGGGATTGGGGGGGGGGACTTAGTACATAAGAGACTTACCGGCTTCAACTTTTGAAGTGTAGCATGAAGCAATAACATGTTTTCCAAAACTGTTAGAGGTGATTTAATGTCTTTTCCAAAAAAAAACATTTTTATTGTTTCCTAAATTATTTATTGTTTTTTTTGGAAAAGACATTAAATCACCTCTAACAGTTTTGGAAAACATGTTATTGCTTCATGCTACACTTCAAAAGTTGAAGCCAGTAAGTCTCTTATGCTCAAGGATGCATTTATTTATTAAAAATGCAGTAAAAATAGTAATATGAAATATTATTACATTTTAAAATAACTTCTGTGTTAAAACATTTTAAAATGCAATTTATTCCTTTGATGACAAAGCTGAATTTTCAGCAGCAATTACTCCGGTCTTTAGTGATCTTTCAGAAATCATTCTAATATCCTGATTTGACGCTTAAGTAACATTTCTTATTATTATCAATATTATCTTATTTTCAGGATTTTAGTTCAAAAGAAAAACATTTGTAACAATAAAATTAATTTTTCACTGAAATTTTGCACTGTCACTTTTGATCAATTTAGTGCATCCCTGTATTGATAACAAAAAAAATAAAACACTGACCCCAAACTTTTGAACGGTAGTAAATGTAAGTAAAAATTTTACTTCAGATTGATTGTTTTTTTTAGATTATTTTAATTTTAGATTAAGTATTCCATTAAGAACATATATTTTTCTCAAAATTATTGTAAATAAACCACAGATTCCATTGTGACTGCTATTAAAAGGTCAACTGTAAAGGTCAACACGTGTTAATTGAACTATGTATTTTCCTAGGCCTGTTCAATAGCTTGTGTGTAGTCTAAATTTGATGGTATGTGTATATACAGTAATAAACCTACCCTGACTTGGTGGAATAAAACGTCTCGACAACTAGCCCCTTATAATTTTCACAATCTATGTAACATGCATGGAGAAAGGATTAGAGATGCGCAGGAGATGAATAATATATCAGATTTGACTCATAGAGGATCAGATCTGTCTGAATCACTGACTCAACCACACAAAAGCTCTTCCTCTGAGAGAGTTTGTGCAGCATCAGCCTCTGGAAGGACAACACCACAGCTGAAATTAGACATGCATCCCCTATTGATCGGCATAGTGACAGCCAACACAAGTTTGACTATTGTCTACTGGAACTTTCTTCTGTCTCAGGTTTTCTGCAAGAAGATCAAAGATGCTCCACCACCTGAGGAAATTCCCGTCTGAGTAAGTATTAATGTTATACGAGTCATTGGACTATTACTCTTACAAGATATAATTTGCTGAATCCTGCAAACAGTTTCAGCACCAAGTCTCATTACTGTACTATTTATGTCTTAGATTTTATTTTATTAGTTACTTTGACAGTAAGGAATTTCATGATTTAATTGATTGAAGGTTGTAAGAAAAAGGAATTTGAGTTGGGGGGTGGGGGGTGGTGGGGAGAGAAACAAAAGTCTAAATGAAAAGAACAAACACTTCTAATTTTCACAAATCTCAAAAACTGCCATTAAAATACACTACCATTCAAAACTTTGTTGTCAGTAAGAGTTTTATTTAACAAGGACACATAAAATCGAAAGTGACAGTAAATACATTTATAATGTACAAAATATTTCTATTCCATATAATTGTTCTTTTAAACCTTCTATTCATCAAAGAATCCTGATTGTTTTGTTTTTTTAATCAGCACAACCATTTTGAACACGGATAACGCAAAATGTTTCTTGAGCACCAAATCAGCATTTTTAATGATTTCTAAAGGATCATGTGACACTGAAGACTGGAGTAATGGCTTCATTAAAACTACATTTTAAAATATATTAATAGTAAATATAAAAATTGTAATAATATTTCACAATATAACTGTTTTTACTGTATTCCTGATCAAATAAATGCAGCCTTGGCGAGCAGAAGAGACATTAAAATCTACTGACCCCAAAGTTCTGAATGTTTAGTTGTTGAGTTGAGTCACAACTGACAACAATTAAGGCTAAAACCTTTCACTGACAGAAAGATGATTATACAGTCTTATGTGTCTGTAAAATTCTCTTTCTGATCTATCTGATAGTTGACTTGCTGAGCATTTTTTGTGTATCATTCGTTCAAACTAGTCTTCAGTTGAGCATATTTATTTATTTAGTTTTTTTGCTCCACCCCCTGCTTTAGCTCAGATGTTGTTTTATCAGTCTATTCTCATACACTGGAAATAAAACCAACTGGAATAATTATGGCACAGTATACATTTTCTGTTTTAGTATAACCTATACTTGGTGTATAATGTCATTTTAAACCCTTTAAAAACACACCCACTCCCTCTAGAAAGTGAACAGGAGCATCTCAGACAGGATTAGGTGGATTACAGCTAACCCTTGATTAATAGCTTTCACCTTCATGAAAGACAGCTGTCATTACCAGCAGTGGAATATCAGAGTCAGCGAGATGTCAGACAAAGGATTAAGCCTGGGATTAAGAGAATCATATCAGGCTACTTCAGAGCACATTCACTGGCCTTTAGCACAGAATAATGAACTCTTAATTTATATATCTACATTTGAAAACATTAAATTTCCTTTTACACACAGGTTGAGGCTTTGGTCGTGACCCTGGGGATGAAGAGAAAGAAGAAGAACCACCAAAATCCATCTTTGGGAAAGTAGGGATGAAGGAGAGAAAATAAGAACAAAGGAGGAACAGACTGCCATTTGACCCAGAAGTGGACGGATAGAAATTGTGCCAGGATTTAAATCTTCTGTATTTGACTAATCACGAGGTTAAAAAGGTGTCACTGAATAGATTTATGAACAACCCTCTCTCTCTCTGTCATCCATTAGTCCCTCCCCCCCCCAAATCTATCTTTCTTTGTCAGTGCTGCTCATTTCCACCTGTTCTAAGTTACCAAAAAATACAAAGCTTACGTGTTTGAAGTCTGTAGGCGGGAGATGTTTTTTATTTGTATTTTCGTGTTCGTTTCACTATATTTAGCAAATAGCTACACAGGTTTTGTTAAAATCTATCTGTCGTACTCTTCTATATGTGTCTCATTCCCTCATTAATAAATGAATACAACATAGAGCGCTGGGTTGTTTACATGGCAATTGTTATCTTGTACTTTCTTGTACTTTCTGATCCTGATTAGCATGCGTTGGCATAAACCATCTGGTTTATGATGGTCCTTTGCTGGTTTAAACTGGTCCTTTGCTGGTTTAAGTTGGTTTATGCTGGTCCTTTTGCTGGTTTATGCTGGTCATGTGCTGGCAAAGGACCACCAGAAACCAGCAAAAGGACCAGCATAAACCAGCATAAACCAGCAAAGGACCAGTTTAAACCAGCAAAGGACCAGCTTAAACCAGCATCCCAGCGTCAAAACATACCTAACCAGCATATGCTGGTTTTTTCAACAGGGGTGGCCATGTGTTTTGCGGATATGTCCAGTTGTTACATTAAGAAGTTGCTGCTACATGATCTAACTTTGGTTGGTGTATTGTAATGAAGTCAGGACATTCAGGGATTTAAGTTTGTTTTAATTTCACAGAAAACTATGTTTAAGAAATTTAGGCCTGAACTGAATCTGAACTGAATATCATGACAAAGTTACAGTTTTCATTGATGTCACTGGTTACGTTGCACTTTAAAATACGCCAACAGGAGTTGAGAGGCAGTCACCTAATAGAAAAAGGCTAAATCCAGGCTCAAGGCTTCTCCTTACGCCACGAAGCACATTAGCTTGATTGTCTTCTACAGTCAAAGTATCAGGTCTGAGGGAAGTCCTGTCACAGCCACTAACGAAGAAACAGCCAATCAGGGAAACCATCATTCTATGACATACTTTGTTGTGATTCTGTGAATATGCAGCGAAAAGAAAGAAGTCTAATGAGCATTCAGCATCAGAGATAGAGAGAGGAGGAGGGCGAGACAGATGACGGGTGTCTGTCAATGAGGAAAAAAGCTTTGCAGGGTATGTACATAACATATTATCTTATTTTCTGACCATAAACATAGCTAACTTATTCTGACTTTCAGATATAATGTATCTAACCCTACCTCTAATCACTAGCTCATCTCTAATCTTAACCGACCTAAAATAATAAATAAAGACATAAATATAGACAATAGAAATGGTTACATTTAAAACATTTTATATATAGCCTATACTCTATACTACCATTCAGAAGCAATTCAAGTAATAGTAATAAAAGTTATTTGAATTAAACTGATCAAAAGTGACATTTATAATGTTTGAACTTTCTATTCAACAGGATGTTTTTTTTGATAATAGCAAGAACTGCTTTTTGAGCACCAAATCAGCATTTTAGAAAGACTTCTGAAGGATCATGTGACACTGAAGGCTGGAGTAATGGCTGCTGAAAATTCAGCTTTACCATCACAGGAATACATTACATTTTAAAATATACTAAAATAATAAAAAAGAGTTGAGTTAAATTGTGATAATATTCGACATTACTGTTTTACTGTATTTTTAATCAAATAAAGGCAGGCCTGGTGAACATAGAGATTTATTTCTACAACATTCAAAACAAAAATAAATTGTATCAACAAATTATACATTATTTTCAATAAATGTTTACTTTTTGTTTTTATACAGATCAACAGGAAATGTATGAAAACTGACAAGCTGTTGTTAAGTGGTTAGACTCAAAGACGCAGTGGAGTAAACAACGATACTTATGGATTTAGACAAAAACAATAAAAGTCTTGATGAGGACTTTTTCAAGGACTACAAACCCACAGAAAATGATCCGCTCACTCTACCCAAGCATGTCATTTATAGCATAGGAGTCACCCTTTTCGCCATCATAAGACACCTCATCCAAGATCTCATTCATGATCTGGCAGGTATGTAACAAGATACCTTACAAATGTCCATGCTGTCTTTCAAGTACAAACAGGGGCGCCGCTAGCAATTTTGGGCCCTATGAAAGAAAATGAGGTTGGGCCCCCTACCGCACCAAACATACAAGCCAACCTAGTTATCCAAAATCTTTGTCTGCAATTTAATAATACTGACATACTACCTTTGCTATTGGTTTTGACCACTAGGTATCAGTATTTAATATATTTATATAAATATAAAATATATTTTATCTGGGGGTGGAGGGCGGGGCTGCGATGGGGGATTTTGAACAAAATCCTCATATTAAACAGCCCAAACACTTATAGAAGAACATACAAATGAATGAAGACAGTGTTATATAAGAATGAATATATATTTGTGCTTTTGTGATTTTAGCTCAATAATATTTTTTTTCTTTAATATTTGTATTATTTTAAGGGGATTTTACTAAATATTAACCTCTAAATTATGCACCATTTATCTTCTGCAATATCAGAGTGTAACCTCTAGGTGGCTGTATATCAATATCAATCTTTATTACAGACTCAAGGTCCAAAAAAAAGAAAACAAGACAATAGGACAACATATACAATCCACAGCATCTACCACCACAATAAAAAGTTACAAAATACAACAATACCAATGTCTCCACAGCTTTGACTGATACCGTGTAGTACTAACCCTTATATTTGATATAATTTTTTTTGATTCTCATTTTTTAAGCATTTAGCCGGCAAATAAATCTATACATAAGATTTCGTAACAGTGCTTTAAAAGTGATTACTCTTGCACTCACAAACATTTCACTTGCACTATGCCATCTAGGTCTTTTTAGTAAAATTCTCATTGCATCATTATAAGCTACTTGCAGCTTCTGTAAACTAGATGTTCTATAGTTGAACCACAGATGAGCAGTATAAAGTGTTGTACAATATGCTTTAAAAAAGTGACACCTTCACCTCATCTGAACAGAAACTAAACTTACGTAAAAGTATATTCGCCTGCATATACATCATACGGCGTTGCCTTTCAATATCCTCATCGTCTGTCATGCGTTCAGTGATGAAATGTCCATTTTACTTTAGCACACACAGTGAGACTCCTATTAGACAACTTGAAAACTGGAAATGTTATACTTTTATCCTCCTTAGTTCTGCAAATCATAACCACACTCTTATCAGGATTATATAAAATATCATGTTCAAGACCATAATCAGAACACATAGTTAAAAGCTGTTGAAGACCAGCACTGCTAGGACTAAACACCACAAGATCATCTGCATACATGCATAATATGATTCACTAGAATATTCCCAATCATACACCCAGTTTTACAAGCGTTCAAACATTCAGATAGATCATCCATGTAAAGATTAAACAGAATTGGGGACAAAATCCCTTGTCTCACGCCATTACTAACCCCAAAAGGGGCAAAGACTTTATTGCCCCATTTTACTCGCATCATCTGGTGGGCATACCAATAAGCCAGGATTCTCACAATGTATTCTGGCACCCCTCTTTGTCTCATTTAAAAAAATAACTCTGCATGGTTAACCCGATCAAAAACTTTAGGTGCATCAATGAAACGCTTTAAGACTGATGAGTTTTTATTTCCTTCAATGCATAGATGCAAAGATCAGTACCGTGTTTGGCATTAAATCCAAACTGGTTATCTGTAGAATTAATGAGCACATTTATCCTATCCAGCAAGATTTTTTCCAACACTTTAGACAGGATACTAGCTAAGGCTATAGGTCTATAATTATCTAAGTTACCTACCATTCCAGCTTTGTTCTTAATAACTGGCACTAACAGAACAGACAACATTGAATCTGGTAACACACCATGAATCAAAAGGCCAGTAAAACAGACAGCTAATAAAGGGGATATCCTCTTACTTCCATATTTAAGATGTTCAGCAGAAATATTATCTAGGCCACTAGCTTTATTTTGAGGCAATTTACTTATAGCATGATCCACCTCACGTGACATAATCACTATTGGATCATTAACTTGAATATCATCCACATTATACAATTCATTTTGGATGCAATTAAAAAGACTACAATAATGCTGTCTCCATAATTCTGCAATATTCTCTGCCCCAGAAACTCCATCTAAGGTACAAGGAAGAGATACTCTGCATCTATTAAAAGTTCTAACTAAAATCTGTGAATCTGTGATATTATGATTTAGCAGCTTCATAGCCATAGAATCAGTCCTTAAGGTTTGCTCATTTTTACAGAATAGCATAATAGCATACTTATATCTTGCATTTGTAGACTTCTTATATTCAAGCTCAGGCCCTTGCCTGGGTCTACCTGCTATAACCCATAATTTAAAAGCTTCCCGGGCTTCAGCCTGATATTCAGCTACATATTTACTCCAGCCAGGCCTAGTCTTATTCATTATACCCTTCGATTTAAAAAATGGCTTACTACAACCATACAGGACATTAACCATATCATTATACATTGAGCAGATATCCCTCGGATGATTTGCATCTTTACAGTTAACATCACTACACATCATTGCATCCCTAGGTAAATTAATATTACTCAGACATCTATCTGTATTTACATAATAGACTAAAAGGTCCTCCTTTGTAAGTGCTGACCAATCCATTTTTGCTGCATTGATATTATTTTCATTATTAGACATCGCTACAAGAAACTCAACATATATCACCATAGACAAAGGTATGTGATCAGTTGTTACTGTATCATATAAGATACTCATACTCCTCAGCGAGGCATGTGCATCTGCTGTACTAATGGTCCAACCATGATGTTGTGTTCCAAGCCTCACTAACATAGGTATAGCTATCTACAGGCAAACACACTTCACTTGACAAAATTAGATTATTATCTTGGCAAAACTGGACAATATGACTGGAAAATAATGAATTTCTATATTGCCCTATATGAGCAATATCACTCTCGTACTCGAGCGATACCGGCTCTATATCAGCATGGTCTGAGTTACCTAAAATAATAAAAGAGAGACTAGTCATTGTGCAATATAGTTTATTTGTTATTATTTCGACAAGGCTTAAGTTGTTTAACAGACACACACACACACTAACAACAACAATAACAATAAAATGGAAATGGGCGTCTGAACAAAAGAATGCCCCTAACGAAGGACTTTAACTGTCTAATTGTAATGTATGGTGTTACACTTCATAAAACAGGCAGAAGTTAAAATTAGCAGGGAAA